AGCTAAAATTAACTAAATTTTAACTAAAATAGCAATAAGATAGCTAAAGGTATAAAAATGCTAGCTAAAAGTAACAAAGTTAGCTAAAAGTATTAAAATGCTAACCAAAACTAGCAAAATGTTAGCTAAAATTAGCTAAACTAGCAATATGATAGCTAAATGTATCAAAATGCTAGCTCAAGGTAGCAAAATTAAAGCTAAAATAGCAAGTTAATGGTTAGATATGGCAAAATGCTAGGTAAAATTAGCAAAATATCAAGTAAAAGCAGCTAGAATAGCAATAGGATAACTAAATGTATCAAATTTCTATCATATATTTTTAAAATGTTAGCTAAAAAGAGATAATTGAATGCTATATCAAAATGCTAGCTGCAATTAGAAAAACGTTAGCTGAAAGGAGCTAAAAGAGCAATAGGAAATGTATCCAAATGCTAGCTAAAAGTAGAAAAATGTTAGCTAAAATAGCAATGGCTAAATGTATCAAAATATTAGCTATTTGACCAGAATCTGTAAGAAAACTGGACATGATTGTGCCAGAAACTGGACCCCCTCCTGACAAAAAATGGACCTGAACCTTCTCAGCTAATCGGTGGAAGGTCCTGCCCAGAACAGTCAGAAAGATCAAAATATTTATTTTACAGTCTGCAGTTATTAAAACAAATAAAAATAGAAACTCTTCATCGACTCGATTCTGCAGGAGTCTGTTCGGACCGATGAGTTGGACCTGGGTTTCAGAGTCTGAATGAGTCTCACCTCTTCTTCCCGGAGAACCACTCGATGAAGAACCAGTGCAGGACCAGCGGCAGCATGGCCATGAAGCCCAGGTAGAGCCAGTCGTAGAGCTCGGGGGACTCGGTGCAGCGTTCACAAACCTTCTGGATGTTGGCCCGTTCTCCTCGAGGACAAACCTGCCGACAAACAACCGAAGTCAAAAACTAAATATATTATTTTTTTATTCATATCTGGGTCGGATTGTTCTGACTAGAACAAAAATTAGTTTATTTTTACCCTCAGAAGGAAGGTCTGAGGAGTGAAACAGCGCCGAGGCAGAATCTGATCAGATTATTGGCTTTTATCACCACAGATTCTCCTTGTGAATTTGGACTTTTTAAATAAAGTTTAACTGAATTTAAAAATGAGGAGCTGGAGAGGGTCCGATTCGCTCTGAAAACATTCCTCCAAACGTGAACAGTGAAACTGCTGGGGAGGCAGTTTTTATTAAAGTTCTGTCTGATCCAYCAGATGTTTATCTGAAGCTTATCTGGGTTTGTTCTTTCAGTCAGAGACCACTGGTTCTGATGTTCAYGTCTCGCTGGTCTTCAATCAGCAGATCAATATAAAAAACATCAGGAATTAAAGGAACTCTGATAGAAAAACAAACACACTACGTGATAAAAACACAATGCAAAGCGGCCGTCAGCTCAGCCGACTTCTCATTGGTCAGATGGTTCTGGTGGTCAATGGTGGGTACTCACACCACACTCTCCCTCCACAGATCCGTTCACCGTGATCCGACCGCAGTACAGACCGGGACACGTCAAACTCATGGCCACTGCTGGAAGACAGTAAACAAACAGTAAATAAACACTGAACACATCAGTAAACAAACAGTAAATAAACACTGAACACGTCAGTAAACAAACAGTAAATAAACACTGAACACGTCAGTAAATAAACAGTAAATAAACACTGAACACATCAGTAAATAAACATTAAATAAACACTGAACACATCAGTAAACAAACAGTAGATAAACACTGAACACATCAGTAAATAAACAGTAAATAAACACTGAACACATCAGTAAATAAACAGTAAATAAACACTGAACACATCAGTAAACAAACAGTAAATAAACACTGAACACATCAGTAAATAAACACTGAACACATCAGTAAATAAACAGTAAATAAACCCTGAACACATCAGTAAATAAACAGTAAACACTGAATACATCAGTAAACAAACACTGAACACATCAGTAAACAAACAGTAAATAAACACTGAACACATCAGTAAATAAACACTGAACACATCAGTAAATAAACACTGAACACATCAGTAAACAAACAGTAAACAAAGTGGGTAGAGGGAACACTGAACACATCAGTAAACAAACAGTAAATAAACACTGAACACATCAGTAAACAAACAGTAAATAAACACTGAACACGTCAGTAAACAAACAGTAAATAAACACTGAACACGTCAGTAAATAAACAGTAAATAAACACTGAACACATCAGTAAATAAACATTAAATAAACACTGAACACATCAGTAAACAAACAGTAGATAAACACTGAACACATCAGTAAATAAACAGTAAATAAACACTGAACACATCAGTAAATAAACAGTAAATAAACACTGAACACATCAGTAAATAAACACTGAACACATCAGTAAACAAACAGTAAACAAAGTGGGTAGAGGGAACACTGAACACATCGGTACACAAACAGTAAATAAACGCTGAACACATCAGTAAACAAACAGTAAATAAACACTGAACACATCAGTAAACAAACAGTAAATAAACACTGAACACATCAGTAAATAAACAGTAAATAAACACTGAACACATCGGTACACAAACAGTAAATAAACACTGAACACATCAGTAAACAAACAGTAAATAAACGCTGAACACATCAGTAAACAAACAGTAAATAAACGCTGAACACATCAGTAAACAAACAGTAAACAAAGTGGGTAGGGGTAACCATGATGGGTTTTATTGCCACTCGGTGTGTGTATTATAACCACTGTTTAGATGTTCTGTAAGCATAAACCGTCACAGTATCTACACATACTGGTTAACAATACCTGCAGCATAATTTATTAGCAAACCAAGCTATTTACAAACATTTTATACTAGGTTAATACAAAAATGGAGTGGATTATTAGACATTAAAACATGCTTTATACGCCTCAAACTTCATTTTAGTTACTAATAATACACATAGGACGATATACTAGTTTTTTCTCCTTTATATTACATTAAATAAAAACATTTTACACAAACAGACGGAGACAGATAATTATTTTCTTCTTAAATCTTGTTAAACGGAGTGATGATGTTTTTTTTAAATCGATAATTTTACGCTTGTTTGGACGTTGCTAACAGAGTTAGCCCGTTTAGTAGCATTAGCGGTCCAAAACAGCAAAACGTGTTTCGCCAGGTTTTAACGCTTTAATTTACTTTTTAAAAATGAACATATATAAAAAGAAAAGCTGCTGAAACTCACCCGAATTCATCCTGTAAACATTTAATCCGTTAAATTAGTTTATTTTCTCACTCTGACGCGAACTACTTCCGTATTTCTTCTTCTTCGTTTGCTTCGTTTTTCTTCTCCGTTTCCGCCACGAAGAGAACGTGACGTCACATGACTGCCTCTAACTGGTCCGCCATCTTTGTAAGGGAAAGACAGGTACTTAGACCAGGGAAGTCCATTTTGTGTGGCCCCTGACTTCAGTTCAAGAATTATTCTAATTTGTTTGCAAAATTCTCCCCCCGCCACAGGCGTTTGATGTAGACGGATACTTTTTATTTATTATTAGGGCAAATTTATCACATAATATTATCTTATAATAAAAAATATTGGCAACAAAACAAATTATTTGTCTTTAAATAACCAGACTCGTAGCTTTTTCCACATCTGTTTAGTGACTTCTACTCAAAAGCTGATTTTGCTGCATTTAAATCTGCTTTTAATTCATTTATTAAATTTATCTGAATACAGCAACAAAAGAGTGACATAAATCTTGACTTTATTGATCAGAATTGACTAAATTTGGTTATTTTTTCCCCCACTTGAAACCTAGAAAATTGAAAAATTTCTTTCAATAAGGGAATCCTGCAAAACAATTTTAAAGTTCTGGATCTAGGTTAATTTACACACCCACTTCCAGCAATGAATTTGACTACTTTATTTGTTTAATTTAAGTGTTCAATGTTTAGTTTATTGTTGAGCAGATAACTGAAAAAAATATTTTTGGTCCTCAGGTCCTTCTGACTTTATGATTTTGGCCCATGTGACAAAATGTTTGGACAGCCCTGACTGGGTGTGTAAGAAAAGAGCAAGAACAGAACTTTTCAAATAAAATCTGATCAAAAACAGGATCTTAAACCGAGCTTTGTTTGGACYGCCCCCTGGTGGTCAGATGTTGTTTTTTATGTTTGATCAAAAGTGAAATTTAAAACAAAAACATGAGGAAAATAATGTTTTTATTCACTAGTTGTTGAATTAGAAAAAAAAACTTGAACCCATCAAACACCAGGGAGTGACAGGTCCGCGCATCACCAACGGTCACCATAGCAACCTTCACACATCTGTGGGTACGTGCACGCGAACGAAAACATCAGCGGGAGCGCGCGGTTCGTGTGTGTCAGCGCGCTCGCAAAAGAAGCTTCCGGTCTGCGCGCGCGCGTGTTCGGAGACGGCCGGAGAATGGGCGCGTGCTGGTCAGGAAGTGATCGGGAGCTGATCGATCAGTGTTGATCAGCTGCCGGGTCTGCAGGCTGCACGGGGCTTGGTTCTGAGGCTGCAGCGGGGGACGGGTTCGGGTCCTGGCGGTCCAGTCTGAAGCCGTGTGGTTATCCCGGGTTTTATCCCGGGTTTAATCCCGGTCTCAGCCTGGGTTTACCTGCATGTTTGGATGTTTGAAACTCGTGCTCTGAGCAGATGTTCCTGCACATCTGGACCGCAGCGAGCCCAACACCAGCAGCAGCCCCGGTTCTGTGTGATCCGGTTCTAAATCTGGGCTCATCCATGTTTGATGAAGACTCCAGCAGATCGATCGCAGCTTCAGTTGCTGACCTCTTTAGCAGAGTCCAGGAAGGTCACCGGGAGGCCCACGGGACCAGAACCAGCATCAATAATTCACCTGCAGGAGCTGGACTGACCGGGTTCTGATGGGATCCGGTTTGGGTTTTGCCGGTCCTGCTGGTGGAGAGGGACTCACTCTGTTCTTCTCCCATGGATTCACCTGTTAGCACGGCCCTGTGGGGGGGAACCAACTACACACTGGACTCGTCGGGTCCGAACCTCAACACCCAGCTGAGCACCTCCTCACCTGTGGAGTCCAGGTAACCCTCCTCTTCCTCCTCCTCCTCCTCCTCCTCCTCACTGAGAGCTGCACCAAACTTTAAACAGAATCAGAACAGATCTGGATTCTGGACCAACCTACAGATATTCTGACAGTTCCAGGGGTGCCAACAAGAGCAGGGACTGGGGGGCAAGACCCCCTGAAAACTGCAGGGTCCCATATGTGGCTAAATTTGGGCTAAAATGTTAAAACAAACTTTATTTGAAATTGAAAACATTATTTTGTATATTTTTTTGGTTATATGATACAATTGCTTGCCATAATAATTAAATTATATGACAAAATGGCCCACCAAATTCATTTAATTAAATGATACAATGGCCTGCCATGCCTAATTAATTACATGATGCAATGACCTTCCATATTTTTGTATTATGTAATAAAATGGCCTGTCATACTCAGTTAAATATATGATACAACAGCCTGCCATGCCTAGTTAATTACATGATGTAATGACTTTCTATATTTTTAAAATTATACTATAAAATTGCCTGCCGTACTCGGTTAATTGTATGATACAATGGCTTGTCGTGCCTTGTTAATTAAATGATGGTTCCATATTTCCATATTTTTAAATTATATAATAAAATGGCCTGCTATACTCAGTTGTATATTTATGACACAAAGGCCTGCCATACTTCAATAATTATATGATACAAAGGCTCTTTGTGTCTTGTTAATTATATGAGACAATGGCTTGCAATTATTCAGAAAGTCATTACCTCGTTATGCAATGACTTTCTATATTTTAAAATTATATGATAAAATGGCATGCCATACTCAGTTAATTATATGATACAATGGCTTTCTATGTCTCGTTAATTTCGTGGGGCAATTATCTTTTTAATTATATGATAAAATGGCCTGCTATACCCAGTTGATTATATGATATAATGGCTTGTCATGCCTTGTTAATTTCATTATGGTTCCATATTTCCATATTTTTAAATTAGATAATAAATTGGCCTGCCATACTTAGTTATATATTTAGGGTACAACAGCCTGCCATATTTCAATGATTACATGATACAAAGGCCCTTTATGCCTTGTTAATTGTATAATACAACGACCTTCCCTATTTTTAAATTATACGACACAATGGCCTGCTACACACTGGTGGTAATTATATATGGTACAACAGTATGCCATACATATGTATTTCAATATATGATACAAGTAGTTTTATTTTCAGTTCCATTTTTTAACATTCTTTGTGGCCACAATTCATCTCCATACCCCCAGCCAAACAATCTTAATCATAATTTGTTAGCAAAATATCATGATTTTAATGAAACAAGATGTCTGCACTGCAGAGAAAAGAGGCGAAATGTCAGTCAGTTTTAGAAGTAGTGGAATAAAGTTTTGCTTATTAGTAGCTGAGAGTCAAAAAATGTGTGGAGCCYGATTTAAACTGTTTCAGTCGTCATTTTCCCATGATGCACTGTGTTTACAGAGTCAGACATGTTTTATTACCACTGCAGATCACAGTATGAGGAGTTCCTGTCCAGGGTTAGATTGGTCCAGGGTTAGATTGATCCAGGGTTAGACCTGTCCAGAGTAAAACCTGTACGATGTTAGATTGGTCCAGTGTTAGACCTGTCCAGGGTTAGACCTGTCCAGAGTAAGACATGTCCAGAGTAAGACCTGTCCAGGGTTAGATTGGTCCAGTATTAGACTGGTCCAGGGTTAGACTATTCCATGGTTAGACATGTCCAGGGTTAGACTTGTCTAGAGTAAGACCTGTCCAGTGTTAGATTGGTCCAGTGTTAGTCCTGTCTAGGGTTAGACATGTCCAGGGTTAAACCTGTCTAGTGTTGTTAGACCTGTTCAGAGTAAGACCTGTCCAGGGTTAGATTGGTCCAGTATTAGACCGGTCCAGGGTTAGACTTGTCCAGGGTTAGACTTGTCCAGTGTTTGACCTGTCTAGAGTTAGACCTGTCCAGGGTTAGACCTGTCCAGTGTTAGACCTGTCCTGGGTTAGACTTGTCCACGGTTAGAACTGCCCAGGGTTAGACTTGTCCAGGGTTAGACCTGTCCAGGGTTAGACTTGTCCAGGGTTAGACCTGTCCAGGGTTAGACTTGTCCAGGGTTAGACTTGTCCAGGGTTAGACCTGTCCAGAGTTAGACCTGTCCAGGGTTAGACTTGTCCA